GTTTCCAGCTGAGAAACGCTTCCAGTTAGAAGCCTTAAGCTCCCTCCTCCCGAACCCTAAAGACTTTCTTTAGCAAAGTTTCAATGGGTTTTTAATCCATTGACAATTCTCTTTTCTTGTTTCTCTGTGTGCGTTGTGTGTGTTCTCAATAAAGATTGCACGACAGCGCGAATAGCTCTCCGAGTGTCCATGTATTGTGAATGTAGATTAGGATAGTGTGTGTGAATGTTGGTTGGGATACGGTTCTAATGTGTGGGTACGGTATGTTTAATGGCACTGTGTTTAAAATACAGTTCTATTACCTAGGTGTGTGGGTGTGCAGTTGTAATATTACCAGGTTTGCAATGCATTTCTAATACTAGTGGGTGGCTAAATATGGAGGAGGTTACATGTGATACCATTTGTGTATCTGTCGTGCAGTTTATGGCTCGAGTTTGAATGTCTGAACATGTATGTATTAACGTGTGCACTAAGGCATAGCTGAGGTCACTGGGAACTGTGGTACAGTACTTATCTGGGAGTATGGTGTTTCTCATGTGCGTACATCTTGTGTGTGATCGCTGATCAATTCTAATACCTGTGTGCTGGGAGGGAGGCGTTTGCGTATATTGTACGTTTGTCTTGTGGAAACTAGAACACAAGTCTAATGTCTGAGTGTACAAAGTTTGTGTGTTGTGAGGTGCCTGAAGTGATGTGGAGGATTGTGATACAACTTGTGCATGTGAGTGTGAGCTGCCTTATGACGATGGGTTTACATCTGTTGACTGGTGTGTGTGCTCTCAGCCAGGTGGCACAAGGAATGTCTGTGAGGATAGGTTTACAGGGAGAGATTGGGTTTGCAGGTACGTGCTGGCCGAGTTGCTGCTGAGGAAGACTGTGTTTGGCTGAACGCCTGCGTGCAGCACTGAACGATAGCTCACGGCTGTTTCTTGGGCTCTGCTGTGTGACTGAATACTGTCCCTCACATCAGCGTGGGCTCAGCTCACATTACTGAAAGTTAGAAAGAATGATTTTTCTTCTCATTTACTGCACACTCTCCGCTTTCAACAGAAGCGCTACCCCCTGAGTGCCGCCCTCTCTGCAGAACCTTCCATCACTGGCAGACAGGCTCTAAGCTGGTGGGGTGTAATTTTTTTTTCTTTATTTCAGGAGCCTCATTAAATCCCCATTCACTGGAGCCTCCGCAAGCCAAGGGCTGGTCTGGTTTTGCCTGCATAGGTTCCTAATCCCTATGGTAACACACTGGAAAAAGGTCAGTACCTCCCGTATGGACCACCTGCTTGGAGATGGTGACTCGGGTCATGTTCCCCGTTTTCTCTGCTGCTCTCTGGATGCTACTGGTTGACAACTCTGTGTGATCGGTTAGGCGTGGGGTGTCTTTGTGTGGAAAGTGTCAGAGGCCCTGGCAGGCTCAGGGAATCGATGACTGGACGTAAGATGGAGCTTTACACTTTTAGTTCAATCTGGCATAGGCCAGAACTGATTAAACATTGTTACCATCCAATGGCCGTGTGGTAGCCTGTGTGAAGCAATCTCCCCTCTGCAGCTGTCCGCACCACTATAACTGGCACCATTATTGGCAGTCCCAGCAGACAGGCAGGAACTGAATGGGGAGTGAAGGTTGAATGGCCATCTCGCTTCTCTGCAGGTACAGGGCTGAGGGCTTGTCTACACTTATGCTACAGTGGCACTGCTTCACCACTGTAGTGCTTCAGTGAAGACACTGCCTATACCAATGGAAGGACTTCTCCCATGGGTGTAAGAATCCACCTCCCCAACAAGCGGTAGCGAGGTCGATGGGAGAATTCTCCTATTGCCCCAGCACTGTCTACACTGGGGGTTAGGTCAGTTTAACTGTGTTGCTCGGGGGAGTGGATTTTTCACACCCTTGAGCCACATCGTTATATTGACCTAATTTCCTAGTGTAGAACAGGCCTAAGTGATACTGGCACATGCCATTGCCCCTGGTTGTGCTGTAGATAAATGCATCACTCCAGTTTCTGGTGCTCTCCCAACAGCACCACCCGTCAACTACCTCCCCTTCAGCATTGAAAAATGTCTGTATGGTAAGCATGACTCGTTAGGTTCCAGAAACTCAGGGTGAATGACCATTGCTCGAGTTATAGGAGAAGCTATGCAGGCTGGTTAGCTGCGCTAGTGAGGGACAAGAACATAAAAAGGACTCCCCATCACGTGAGCTAATAACCACGGTCTCCCACCTCTCCTCACTAAATGTTTTGTTCGGCTTTTGTCAATGGGTAATCCTGACACGACAGTCGTATAGAAAACAATGTTCTAGATAACTCCTATATGGAGCATTTTCCAGAGGCAGGGGTACGTGGGTTGTGGCTTAAAAAACAATTCCAAAAATTCTAGAGTAACGGCTCCCAATGCTACCGTGATACTGCAGTGCTAGGACGTGACTGCAGAATTCTGCCGTAGGTTTGTTCTAAGGTTGTTTGATTAAATCCCAAGTCAGATAAGGATAGGTCAGCATGACGCCGGAGAGATTCACTTGCACCAGCAATAACTAGATTTCCGTGCCCACCATCTATTGGCCTGCTAAACCTGGGCTTGTGAGTTCAATCCTTGAGGGGGCCACTTAGAGATCTGGGGCAAAATCTCAGTACTTGGTCCTGCTAGTGAAGGCAGGGGGGTGGACTAGATGCTCTCCTGAGGTCCCTTCCAAACCTGATACTCTGTCCTCTCTGCCATCCTCTGAGATAGAGGGTGTCTGACTGGCAGCAGTGAGGTACAGGGAAAGGGCACTCATTATACCAGAGTTGCAGAGTGCAACTGGGACTCTTACTCCAACAGAGGGTGCTCCCAATTGCTTCTCCTGCCATCCACACCCTCTGGGAGAGGAGACGGTCACAACAGAATTAGAGGCGGTGTAAATAAGAACTGCCCTATAGGACCAGGTGGGTGGTCCTGCTACTCTGTCAGTGGCCTGCCTGCCACCAGTGGCCAATAATAGA